TCGTTACAACTTCTCATGTATTGCTACTTTCCTAAATAAACGGATCAGACAATAAAAAATACATTTCGGTAGTTTGGTCCACTTTGGCCTCGTTAGCACCCTTTGTTTCTGAAATTCACCAAATCTGGAAAGATTTACTATTGTTGGATTCTCCAAATGTCCATCCACAGTTAAAAAAAATTCAAAGGAAGAAGGCAAATTTCAACTCTATAAAACGATATATTTCGCTGCTCATTGAACATGCACTGATTATCTGGCATGATCTGGGATAAAATTAAAACATTGCAGGTACGACAGCAAGCAAAGAAAGCACCAGATGCGTGAAGTCAACACGAAACAACACAAAAAGACAAACAAGAAAAATTAATAAATTTGAACTTCTTTTTATTCTTGTTATGATCACTGGTTCTTTGATTCTTGTCCATTAGAAGTTATAATAGGTAGTACCATTCCTGTTTTGTACGATCTCAGCAAATTTTCACACACTCTCTACGGCTATAGTTTCCCTGGACTAGTTTGCTTCTATCAAAAATCTTCAAAACCACGCCAGTGAAGCCACGTCCTCTGCGATTGGTCCGGAATCAGTTCGAACACCCCAATGATTCCTTGCAATGAATAATACTCTTATTCTCTTACATCAGAAACTCAGTTTCTGCTTACATCAAATGTTTTCTTTGAAATAATGTGAAACCTAGACGAGTACTATAAGCTTATCTTAAAAAATCTGTCCGACACCGTCCGCTGCTGTGAAAATGTTTGATCACTGGATCGATGTTTTGAAAAACAGAAGCGCGCCTACCCATTGGTTGAACAGTGTCGCGTGACCAGTTGGCCCTGTCCTTTTTCCCGACTGATACCGTAAACTTCCGAAAATAAGCCCCGGGGCTTATATTTTTCAAAGGCACTTTTTGAGGGTCTTATATTCGGAGGGGCTTATCTACGGAGGGAAATTTGCGTTTCAAAATCGATTGGGCTAGCCGTATAGTTGGAAGTAAATTTACCGTTTTTGCCTTGTTTTACTTTGTATTTGAGGGCAATTTTCCAAGGACAAGCCCCCAGGGGGCTTATATTTGGAGGGGCGATTTAACGGAGGGTTTTTTGCGTTACCGGATTGGGGGCGCTTCTATTTGGAGGGACTTATGTTCGAAATTTTACGGTATTCTCGGATTGCACTGTCACGCAATGAAAAATAAAAATGCAAACCATTCAACACAGAAAGTCTAGAATCTGGGAAATGAAAGAAGATAAATATACAAAAAGCCTTGCCAAGAATCAGATCTATGCAATATTTCAAATGAGAGATATTCGGAAAAAAAGTTCACCTAAATTTACAGAATTTATAAAGCTTCGTATGGAAACTCCATGTTGGTGTCCCTTTCAGGGACACCAATATGGCCTCCGGATACCAAAAAAGACATCTCTTTTCGAGTTTTCCTACTATAAATGCGTGAATTCTTCGCTTGAGGAACTCATAAAGATTAAAAGTAATATTTATTCTGAGACAAGGAATGTTTAGATAACAAAACCTCCCAAAATCTATGATGTTTTTAGCACACATAAGAGCTCTACTGGCCGTCAGCTGAATGCCGCGTCAAGCAAAAGCCTGGAAATTCAAGCGTCCGGTATCGCAAAACGAAGCACCCTTCCGAACCAAAAATTTGTCAACATAAAGGTGTTTTAATACTTCGTGAAAGTAGAAACTCAGAAGAATCGATAATTTCTTAGTTTGATTTTTGGTGACGACACGTGCAAGCCAAGAATATATATAACAATTATTCGCCGAAGTGGAGGTGGGTAGTAGGGGTATTTACCGAGGCCGCAAAGCGGCGAGGTAAATAACCACCACTAGCCATCGACACTGAGGTGAATAATTGTTTTAGTATATGCTAAAACAGTGAGATAATTGAGCACAAAAATGATGATTTTTAACTCATTTATTGTTGCCAACAATTACAAGAGGGTGCCAATGGGGTTGGCAGTTAACTGATATTTGGCCAAAAAAAATAGTAGTTAACTGATAATTGGCCAAAAAATTAGTAGTTAACAGAGAAATGAAAAGTTAACAGTTAATTGACATTCTATTTATACGATCGTTGATGATAATGAAAGCAACAAAGTCTTTCAAACAGAAATGCTATTTTCTGCATTTTTTCTGTTCCGCTAATCACCCGGTCACACATTAACTGATACTATATGCAAAAAGCATCAGGGCAGTACCCTGCAAACAGAAAGCGTCACTGGCATAGAGCTGGTTGTAGACAACTCAACGAACAAGATTTCTGTGTTGTGAAAAGGAAAATACTGTTTTCACGGATCCAAACGATCGTGAAGTTAAACATTACTACCCAAAGAAAAAAGCTATAACTCATAGCAATTATTTGGATCTTCTGATGGCTCAAAGAAATCAGTATCTTTCTTTAAAATACATGGAGTTTGTACTCATGAGAAATCATTTTTGTAACTGATGTTGCAGTGCTAGCTATCGAGAACATAAAGATCATGTTTAAACCTGTCTTTCTGAAACAGTTTTATTTTATTAAAACCCTTAGATATCTTTATGACGCTTTTGAAATACGCGAAGAAGATAAGTCTGTGAAAAAGGTAACATAGAGACGCAAAAGAGGTTGTCGACAAAGTCTGCACCGAGGTATAAAAAACGTCTCGACAACGCAGATGAAAAGCCCACGCGCGGTTTCTCACTTCAACACAAAACATTTAATGCTTTGAACTACGCTCAAGACTTTGGAATCACAGTGAAGGAATCGCTTAAAACAACTAGAAATTCGAAGGGCTACACTAAAGAAAAATCGAATTGTCCCGTGTCAAATACTTTCTCCCATCGGTGCAAACAGTGCCAAAAGAAGTTGAAGTTGTGATGAGGGACTGGATAGAGAACTTTCGCCCTTTTTGATAACGAACTATCAGGAAGCGAATCAACTGAAGATAAAGTGGGATCTTTACTACCAGCACCACAGGACTGTCTATGTCATGCTATTTGCTATCTTTTTAAAAAGCTAAAACTTTTTTTTGCATCAATTGAATTCTAAAAATAATGTCTAGTTTTGTTATTTAAGAGTATATACTTGGGCATTGATTTTGTTTCCCGGATTGAAAATGGATTGAAACTTAGGCCAACAACAAGATACAAGACATACAGCAACCAGATAAGTACGAAACTGATTCAGATAATGAAAGTGAAGAAGAAGGTGACTTTGAAGTAGTTTATAGCAGGACATGCATGACCAGGTCGGGAATACCAGTAAGAAATCATGACAGTTACTTGTAAATTGTACTAGTGGCGGAGTTTATGTGAATTCAAAAAGTGATTGTCGTGCTGAAGCAGAGAAAATTCGGGTTATGACGGAATAACATTCGCTGTAGGAAAGTGAAAGTTATATTTAATAGCTAACCGAAATTAGTAGTTAACTGAGAATTGGCCCAAAAAATAGTAGTTAACTGATATTTGGCCGAAAAATTAGCAGTTAGCTAAGAATTAGGTACCCCTATTATCACCCTCTCACAATTTTGGCGCGCAATGACCGAACGGCCGCTGTCGTCGCTTTTTCTCGCCGACAAAAAACTTTTGAAGGAATTTGTCTAGCTCTTGCGGGGAAATTTCTTCAAAGGAGTTGTGAATTCTTTTTGTATTTAAAATCATTCTGTAAAAAAGATTATCAAATTTAGTTTTAAGTTTATTTATGAACAAGTCAACTAAATAAAGTAACGAAAGACTTAAGCTAAATTTGCATTTGTAAACAAAAAACGTTTTCACCGGTTTTATCGCGATAAATTCAAGTCAAAAAGACAAAGCTTTACCTGAGTAAGAATTCCGAACCGAACTTCGTCACCTTCTTCGTGTATGTGAATGGCCTGCTTGATTAGTTGTCAGTGAAGTTTTTTGTTTGTTTACGGCAGCAAACCAGGAAGGCATCTTGGTCGCATTTTACGCGAGTTTGGCGTCGCTCGCTAGGAGGAACTGGAGGTGAATCAGGGAATAGTGCAGGATATTCACTGATTGAGTAGCCAATCAGAGCGCCCAAAACACACTATCCACTGTTTTAGTATATACTAAACACAGTTATACGCACCTTATAACTTCATCTGCGCTTAACGAGTGTCTTTTGGTCCATAACTTTCAAAACAACTGCTCCACAGAATGTCACTGATAACACGTAACGCAAAAGAGTGTCGAAGTACGGCTGCACAATTAATGTCACAAAATCTACCTAAGCGGTCCCTTCGGGATTTTCTCTCTTTACGTGATCCTTTAGAACCATTTCGTACTTGCGGGCGCAAACAATACAAACGTCATCATTACTTATCGATTCCTCGCGGCCCCTGTTCAACCAAATTGAGATTTTTTCTGGTATACTGACTGTATATTTCAACTGTAAGTACCGTTCTATAATATACGTGCGAGTTACTACAGTGCCTCCTTGGGATTTCGCCTTCTGGGCGAAATCCCTGCGGGGGGCAATCATATTTATCTATCGCAAGAAATATCCACTCTTCCCCCTCAACTGCTACCTGTACGCCTAACAAACATATCCAACGCACTCTCCTAGGCTTCATCAGGTTGCGAGTGTGGGCTAGAACCATTGACTCCCTAGTAACGGTTGGGTGTCAATCCAGTGAGTTAAGGAGGGAATTGCGGCGATCTGGGACCATTTACTATGTTATCACGAGACAAACGTCCCTGTTAGGATCCAGCAGAGCAGTATGCCAATGGCATATTTCTTTTTACTCGTGCGGGGTAAAAGCATTAATCCGAAGTGCTAGCATTACATGTTAACAACATAAATAAATTCCAGTTTTAATTTGGATAACGTCTCCAAACCAGGAGTTCCTGCTCCAAGCTTAGATTGATTTCTTGTACTATTCTCAATCTAAAGATCGGAGCATATTGGCTCTGTAAACTTGAAATAGACATAATTTTTGTGTACAATTTTTGAAAAACGAATGAAGCTCTAACGTTTTATAGCACGTTAGCTTAAAACAAATCTTTTTTTTTTTTTGCAGATAGCTGCACAGGTATCAAGTCTGTTGGTCTGCCTGTGACTCACAACACTCGGCAATATACGCAAGGAGCCTGGATGAAAGATCCGTTAGGCATCATGGGTGTGGATACCATTTTTGTTATGGAGCTTTTCAGTGGAAGAAAAGTACTTGAGGAGTTTGAAAACATGGACAAATTCAAGGCAGGCATAGTTCATAAGAAGCATACGTTGCCTTATAATTATGACGGAACAGGAGCAGTGGTGTATGGGCCATACCTTTACTACAAGAGGTGAGGTTCAGCTTGCAGCCGACAACGAAGCATCCCGCCGCAAGCGAGAAAAAAGCTCTGGTTCCCAAGGCAAGATGTCAATAATCTGGACAAAATCTTTTCCCACTATGCGAACTGTTCACCTTCACAATTTCAGTTCGCGTAGATCAGTTGTCGCGTTTTAAGCTTATCTTGCTTGGGACGAGCGAGATACTTACTTAGTTATAAAAAATCCCGTGTATGGATATATCAGACCTGGATAAAACATGTTTAATAAACATAATCACTGATACGCGGGTAAAATTCTTCGAACGCACTTTATTCCAAATGTTTTTCGTGCATGTGAGAGGCAAAACTATAAACAACATGCACAAATGTTGCCTGGCCTGGTCTTTATTCAATTGTGTCGTTCTACGACGTTTCAGCTCGATTTGAGCGGCATATTAACCGAGAAAGGTGTATCAATCAGAATCATCAGCTCAGCTATAAAACCCGTAACTCAGTAATATCCGTGCTTTCGACATAGGTAAATCAACTTGTTGACGGAACCAGGGTGATGAACGTGATTGCCATTTGCGCATATGACGTAAATAACGCGAGCTAAATTATTCAAAATAGCGTAGTAAATGCAGACGTTCGACAAAAAACATCATCCTTGAGTACCACCAAGAGAGGATAAAGGGGACAGAGAAGGCATCCCCCATACACACCCTATTCCATATGTAATTCGTCTCGAGTTATTTTTAAGACCATAGATCCCAAGGGGGATTAGACAACAGCCAATCACATAGCGCGAATGTGTTCCGCGTGTATGACCCACGGTCAGAGCCACGCGTCCTTCACGAATTGACGCAGAAAAAAATGGCGGAAGACGCGGAGAGCGATATTGCTATTTGTTTTGTCGACGAAAACCACTAAAGAGAGATTTCTGCTAAAGCTGTGTCAGCTAAACGGAAATTAAAAAAGGATCGCCCTTCCTCTCTTGCATAGAGCTAACAGTACAGCAGGGAAATCCTTAACACACTGAATATTCTCTCAGGATCATTTATAATTTACAATTTACAGTTTGAAGAGAGCAATTTCTGGTTTGATATTTATTCTTTTATTAGTCTTTTATTATTCAACAAAAATAACACTTGGCGTCCTTCTTGCTTTATTATACAAACGACCGGTTTCAATAGACCGGCGAAATTTCTCATTTTATTAACGCACTGAGGTTACGACAACTTCGAGTTAAACTGATTTCACGGGTTGTCAAAGAGTCCAGCGATTCCCTTTTCCCAGGTGAGCGCCGACTCATTTCGCTTCAATATTCAGAAATGCTCTCGATCTCTTTACGCTTTCATTTTCATTGCCTTTCGCCCGACATGTTTTGCACGGCGTTTAGACATGCGAAACCTCCATGAAACATCCACGCAGCGCGCGAGGTAACTTTATCCCGATTCTGAAAGTAACTCAAGACGAATTACCTGTGGAATAGGGTGTGTATGGGGGATGCCTTCTCTGTCCCCTTTATCCTCCCTTGGTACGACAGTACACTCAAGTATCACAGATTATGTGATGCGTTCTGCTAACGTCGAACGCGATTAGTCATGTTTCAATCCTCTTTTGGAAAAACACAAAGAAAATTAAGCAATTTTTTTTACGCACCTACTTAATATATCGAGCACAACATCAATACATTTTTCTTCACACTTTAAATGTATAAATACTTTTCGTTTCCATTAACAGAGAAAATTCGCCTTACATCGTCAAGTACAATATAAAGACAAGTAAGCAAGAAGCCCTGATTAACATGGCATCAGCTGGTTTTACACAAAGGAAGAATAATTACCAATGGGGTGGCTACTCTGGAATGGACTTGGCAGTCGATGAGCAAGGATTGTGGGCTTTGTGGGGCGATGCTGACAATGCCTACCGACTTCACGCCTCTAAAATTGATGTGTACAGCAATGCCATTATCTATACGCGCCCCTTAACTACAGGTAATAACAGCTGCGCAATTCATTTACCTATTTTTTCGTAAAATTCCGAATCATAGGTACTAAATGAAGATCCAAATTGATTAGAACACACAAGGTGGCGACTTCCGTGCCACTAAGCCTGAGAAAATAGCCGAAATTTCGCGAAACCACCGGCAAATTTAAAAAAAACTGAAGCATTACCCAGATTTGGGTAATGACAAGTCATCAATGTGGAATTTCTGCGCTGGTACTTCCTCACGTCATTTCGAGGGAAAACCCGCTGTGTTGGCGTCGCGAAATGTTAGCTAATTTTTCTCAGGCTTTGCCTGAGCCCAGGTTTCACTGTGGGGAAAAATGGCAAAAATCGGTGCTGAAACGGCAAAAAAATTCGGCGAGCGAAGCAAGCCGAGCGGTAGACTGAGCCTCAGGTCCCAGGCTATCTCGGGCTGCTCTCCCTACTCCGTCTCAGTACAAATCAAAGGAGAAAACTGGGAAAGAGTCAGCATCTAAGAATATCATTGAATTGTGAAGCGTCAATAACAAGTAAACTAGATTTACATTTATCGCAAAAACCTCGGTTTCATCGATAAATTCAAAATTACCTGTAAAAACTGAGAAACCAAATTTCGTCGCCTTCTTTACGCCGTAACAGACGAAGAAATTTCACAAATGACCGGAAAGCCATTTTGCTCGTAACTTGCACGAGTTTGGCGTCGCTTGGAGGAGAAAAGCGCTGAATATCCCCAGTTTGAGTAGCCAGTCAGAGCGCGCGAAAAACGCTGTCCACTGTTTTAGTATGACTGAATAGAAACATTCCCAACTCGAGTGTCTACCTCGCTGTGCGATTCACGCGAGTTCGCTACTCGAGGAATAATTATTGACTAGAACGCTATTGAACGCTATTAGCTAGGCTATTACTGAGTTTATTAGTTCGCGCAAGGATCAGTTATTACTGAGTTTATAGACACGAGCCTTGCACTGTCCGTGCTCCATCATTTACGACTTTCAATATATGTTAATTTCCAATTGATTTTTTTAGTTCCACAGAACTTATCTCTACATCAGCTTTTCCAAAGTTTAGGAAGACAATGGTTGACTCTTTCAAGATTCTTACGTTTGTGCTTTCCAGGACTGCCAGTTGGACAATTCAAGCGTACTTAGACGAGCATTCTCTCGTTTTCTCCAGATTTAGTGCGGGGAGTGCGCGCGAGCGCGAGCGTCGAGCGAGACGCGAGAAACGACAGCGGCAGCCCAAGAAGAAAAAAGAGAGACTTTCTTTTTTCGTGCCTCTCCCGTCTCGCGCCTTCAGTCACGCACGTGCTCATTTGCATATCTTACGCGTTTTGCTGGACGGATCAAGAAAAAAGAGAGACTGCTCGTAGTGTACGTGTACTGGGTTAAAAAATTCATTCTTCTGCTGATTTATAGTGTTTGTTTTTTCGTTCTTTATTTTCTTGTTTTAGAAACGATGAGGACGATGGGAAATGCGTTTGTGGCTTGTGGCGTGGTCTACTGTATTGATCAGTTTAACACTAAATCTACAACCATCAACTTTGCTTACGACTTCAAAACGGGCCGTACATGGAACCCCAATATTCAGTTCACCAATCAGTACAACTTCAACTCCATGGTGGACTACAACCCCAGAGAAAGAGTACTGTACGCCTGGGACAACAAGCATTTGGTCACTTATCCCATCACATTCGAACCAATGGAAGAGAAACCTTAGTGAAGCATAAAGCTGAATACTTTGCTGTAACCTAATAAGTGTAATTTTAACACCATTTCGAACCCAAAAAAATCTAGTTGGAGGGGATTCTATTATCCTCTCTTGATCATGATCATTAACATTAGAAGCTAAAAAGTCCGAGACCCCGAGAAATGTAACTGTAATTTATGTCTGTTGTAAGATTAATAAATGAATTGAAAAATGGCCTTATTTTGGATTGCATCATGTACTTGACTCTTAAATTTAACTCAAACTGACCTTGAACATCTTAAGCTTGCATGTGCAAAATTTCTGACCTGTGCACTGTCTAGTCATTGGTATGACGAACACCAGAACACAAATGAAATAATATGGCTCCAACAATTTCTGTTAAAGCAACATACTGATAGTCTTCCAGATTAAAGCACTAACCTACAGTGGGTCTACAGTGGTTAGAGTTGACCTTACGTTGAAATAAAAACGAGCTTTTTTTAAATCTGCTACCATGGTATATATAATTAGACCCATCTCCTCTAGCTCTTTCATGACTGTTCTCCACCAGGTGATTTTTGGCCGGCCTTCTTTTCCTCTTCCTAGTTAGAGTCCATCTCAATGAGACTTTAGGCTATCGCGTCACTGGGCATCCTTAGGGCATGACCAACCCATCTCAGCCTACAGTTCGGCTTAATTACGAGAGACCAAGAGCCATGAGAGACATGTCCGCCTTCTTATACTACCCTCTGTGCTGTCACCTTGTCGTTTTTGTTGGGGTTGCGTTATATCGGCAAGTTTCTTAAGCTCCCAGCAGGTCTAAACCTCCAAAATACAACTGCTAATATTTAATTTGTACAGTTAATATTTACTTAAACTATTGGACTAAATGTCCATTCGTACGTCAACTGTGAAAGCTCAAAAACTTGATTTAAACTTCAACCGCCAAAATTGAAAAATTAAAAGTCGACCGTCAAAGCCTTCATCCCTACATTCAGAAAAGCCAAAAAGAGCATGTTAAGTCCCTTAGACTGACTCAGTGTGCAAACGAAGGTTAAAAGGAGTGCCCAAAGGGAGAAAAGAGCCTTAAGTTTGCAGAAGAGCTAACTAGTGAAACAGAGAAGGGAGGGAGACCTCAACACTGTGTACAAGATCGCTAAGCAGTTAAGTGGACAGAGCGACACCTACACCAAGCCAGTCAAAGATGAGAAGGGAAACTAAATTGAATGATAAAACAGCTGAAAGATGGGTCCAACATTTAAAGGAAGTGCTTAAGCAGCCAAAGCCTAACGGGGAGCCTGCAGGCACGGACCCTTTGGATGATCTCAACATGAACACCGACCACCTTCTCAGACTGAAGTGGAAACTGCAATTAACCGTTTTTAGGCGGAACAGTTTTACTAAAAAAATTCCGTTGGTTCCAAACAGAAAAAAATAGATAGTTATTAATGTCCTTGAAATCCTCACCATGACCTTACAATGCAACAATTCCCCTTAATGTGACATTCATTTTGAACAAAGGAGCCTTTTTATAGGATAGTCAATTTCGAAAAAGGACGAACATTCAAGCATGGGTCATCTCCTTAGAGTAAATATTGCTCCTGATTTCAAGACCAAACTTCATTTAGACGGTGAATTCAAAACAAAGGTCCCAAACAAGAAACTGTTTTGCTGAACTTAAGTACTCCTCTAAGAGTTATTTTTCCTGATCAAGGGAACTTAAATGTGGGTGATTTTTTGTTTCATCGATATTTTCCATTGTTAATAATAATCTGACATGACAGATTGTTTTAGCTAAATGTGCTTAAGTTATTTATTATATTTTCCCAAGCCACAAGCAAACAGTATAATGAAATAGTCATTCAGAGTATAAAGTTAATCTTTGGAAACTTGAGTTTATTTAGTACTCCAGGTTCAAATGCATGCAAATTCAAGGTCTTGCAAGAACCATATCCCAGGACGATATCGAACCGAATTATACGCCGGGAGTTACCGGTCGCAACGGCAACCATCGACTCAAAAACCAGACCATGCTATCAATCTAAAGAATGCTTTAAACAGCAACTGCAAGGTTTCTTTTGCAATTAAAATAGCTGGGATCGAAAATGTTACAAGATCTCAGTGTGTTTATTTACCATGCACGCCTGCTGTTGAGGTCGTTGAGTCTTCGATGGAAAGGATCGGCCGAATAAAAGCCACAGTTAGGATAAACCTTTGGCAGTAGTTGTGATGAACGTTAAATATACAAAGGCAAGGGAGTAGTAAGGGTGAGTTCTTGTCTTTCACTCTGTTCGGATGAGCACAAAAGAGCTGAAATACAGGCATAACGCTCACTAAAAAAGTGGAGTTCGTTTTGATTCACCATCAGTAGTGCTAGAGTTATAAACTATTAATAATTCCCCCTGGCCTGGCGGCGGATGGCGGAAACGGCCGGTCTGCGCCCACAGAAACGGGTTTACTCTGGCGCCCGAGAGAAACAGAAAATATTCCGAGAAGCGTCTCGATACATGATTAGGGAGTTCGCGCGCAATGACGACGGCGAAGGCAACGAGAACGGCAAAAAAGCAATCGGCTTAAACACGCAAAGCAATGACAACTTTGCGCGTGCATCACGCTTGTTTGTACATTTCTCTGCCGTCTTTGCGCGACTACAACGAGAAACTGCGTAATTTCACGTTTTGTCGAGGACGGGAACAAAAAGACAACAACTTTATTTTTCTTTTCCTGAAATTTGATGCAGTCCTTTAGAATTCAACTCCAAAAAAATTGGCCATCATTTGACGAATTAAACGGGATGGAATAAGCACAATAAAGTTTGAGGCAACGCAAATTCGCTTTTTAAGTGACGTTTTCGTAGCTGTCGCCGTCGTCGTTGCGTAAACTCCCTATTGATCGTGGCTTGCCGAGGCGGCCCGAGTGTAACAGAAGTTTCGCATTGGCTGCGGCGTGAGTAGCCAATTAGAGATTGGCAAAATGTGTACATAAATATGTACAACGATGGAAACCCACTCGTTTACATAAGCAAAGAACAAATGTTGGTGGAATCCCAGAAGGTCTACCACCGCCTTTAAAGCCGGCAAACCTGCGCAAAGGCCTGAGCCTGTGCCACCTCCTTAGAAGGACACTGAGGGCGCAAAGACGCGAGAATTTGACCCATTAGAAAATGAATCGTTCACTTGGGATACATATATCAATTTTAACACTTGAAGTATTACCGAGTCTGGGAAATGTTTAGGTAACAGATAGAGTCGCCTTCTCTTTACTTTGCACATACATGCTCATATGGAAAAAAGAAACTCTTGCAAAAACAATTGGACAGCTGTTGACAGCTCAAGGGCCTAATTTGACTACAAAGCCCAAATAGCCTATAGGTGTGACTACAAATAAATAGTGTTAACGGATTGTCGAAATTTTGGCTATCGTGTTTCTATCCATAAGACCTACGAGAAAATCAGCAGTCGAGAGTTTTTTGCTGGGTATGAATCTATTCAGTTGTGGAACACAAGTCAGATCAGAGGGAAAGACCTAATCCTAAGATCACTAAGAATGAAGGACAACGGTAACCTAGTAGGTGCTTTACGAACAGGTGCTTTTCATCCTTTACTGCCATTTCCCCCGCGTGAATTCATTCAAGTACAATGCATAATGTCTTGAGAGTGCGTGCTATGATACACTTTCCTTTAGTCTTTGTCATTCTTACTGAGGGAGTACTTGACTTTGGTTCTGACTTTTTTCCTGTTTCGATATTACATAGCAGCTTTTCCTTCTTAAAACAAGAGTTAAGCTTTATTCTCTATTTTATCTTTAAAAATACGTCGATAAAATTGCACCCCTCTGCTTTAGAAAACTGCATGTGAACAAGCCTCATAGGGAAAGACGAGCTCTTTCCGTTTCACGGTCTCCGCGGATCGAGTTTTGATGTCTAGATAGATAGATAGATAGATAGATAGATAGATAGATAGATAGATAGACAGACAGACAGACAGACAGACAGACAGACAGACGGACGGACGGACGGACGGATGGACGGATGGACGGATGGACGGATGGATGGATGGATGGATGGATGGATGGATGGATGGATGGATGGATGGATGGATGGATGGATAGATAGATAGTAGATAGATAGATAGATAGATAGATAGATAGATAGATAGATAGATAGATAGATAGATAGATAGATAGATAGATAGATAGATAGATAATCTTTATTTATCCACGGTACAAAATTCGTCAGCTTTAAAAATGCCTAATACTAATATAATGAAAATATTTAAATAAAAAAGCTGCTTTCCACGAATGCCGTGCCTTACATTTCTTTGAGTAATCGTTTAAATTGCCCAAGGGACTCTGCTTCCCTAAAGTTACAAGGAAGACTATTCCAGAGAATGGCGCCACTATAGCTGAAGCTGTTTCTGTAATAGTTTGTGCGCGGTAATGGAACATTGAGTTTATTTTCAGAGTCCCTTAGGTTATATGCGACTTCTCGCCTTTCATATTTAGAACTAAGATAGTTTGGAGCCAACCCGTGCAGAGACCTGTAAACCATCGTAGTTCTTTGAATTTGTTGCTGGCAAGCTAGGTTTTTCCACCCTAGAAGTTTGAAAAGGTGACCAGCATCTACGTCATAGCTTGAGTAGGTCAAAACACGGGCTGCTCTGTTTTGTAGCTTTTGAACCTTATTCCGTAAAGTTATCCCACAGTTTCCCCAAACAATGTTGCAATAATCAAAGTGTAGCTGTATTAAAGCATGATATATTAGTTGTAAGGTCGCCTGAGGGACAAGGTGCCTTATTCGTTTTATGACCCCAATACCAGAAGCGACTTTCTTTGTTACTTTCTCGATATGGCCACTCCAACCAAGTCTGTCGTCGATGGTCACTCCAAGTGATTTTGCAGTAGTGACCTGGCTAACTTGAAAAACATTAATTGCAAATGTCGGGGACTCTGTGAGAGTACTTAGCCTCTGCCTAGATCCGATAAGCATATATTGTCTGACTGACAAACGGTCCACAAAAGCTCACCCTCCT